TAGTTTTAAAGTATTTAAAGAAAGTCCTGTGTTAATTCCTCTCAAGAGCTGAATTCTGAGGGGTTATACATGACAAAATTTTCTGGGAAATAGGTAAAGGAGGCTGGTCCTGTTCCTGAACCACTGAGTGGAAGTCTTCTTTCCGACTATGTGTGTTGGAAAGGTTTGATTAATTTTGAAATATTGAAGCAAACACCTAAGACATTGCTTTAAAAGTATGAGTTAAAGTACTCACCTTGTTATTCCTTTTACTTATAGATTTTCTTGCAGGCACCTATCCAACTCCATTTGTCTTTTTTTCTTAAAATAATAAAAAGCAAAGAAAGAAAAGGAGAAAACAGGAAACCTCCTCCTCCATTTCTCTTGTGAATCTCTTTAGTTTAGAGTTTAGAATATTATCAGAATTGCAATATTTATGATTTACACATGAAGGGTTGATATTACAGTGTGGTATAATTTTGAATCCTTTCAGTGTGGGAGAAAATGCTATTTACTGTTTCCCAACAGACAGAACTTATGTGTTGTTGAAAAGCTCTTCCTCCAGTTCATTTCCCTTAATTCTTTGCCTGAGGTAATTCTAGCAAATATTAAAATAATTGGAAAATGTGAATTTTATGTGTTTAAATGGGATAATACAGCTTCAGCATAACAGACTATCATATTGAGCAGACTAGACTATCCCTTTTTTATTTTTAAAAATTGAAACACAGGTTCCATATTTTGTCATGCATCCTCACATCTGTTTCCATATTATACTTTGAATTATAGTAGGGTGACTTTATTCCAGAATAAATATGTTTGTGGCCTAAAGAATAATCTCATGTGAGGAAGAAAAATCCGGTTGGGTTTTCCCTCCAATTGTTCTGTTAAAGGAAGAAATAGCTTGAAAGGAAAGTAAGATATGTTTCTTTCAAATACAAGGAACCTCAGATGTCTCTCGGTGCAGCTTTTGTCTATGGGTGATCATCTGTAAGATGCCACCAGAGGTGAATCCTCAAATTCTTTTTTGGAGCTGTGAGATTTAAAACTCCTTGAGACAGGATTTGAGTGGGTACAAGCAGTTTATTCCATACAAAAAGCGTTTGCAAAGGCTGTCTCAATGCCTCAGTAGTCTGAGAAACAAAGAGCAATCTTTTACTGTTTACAAGAGATTTTACACATTCCTTTCCCCATGCTCAACACTATCCCCGCTTCACCATTGGCTGGTTACTAAGAAGTCACAATCTTCCCCATCCGCCTATATCATACTGCTCCTTAATATGTCCCCCCCTCCCGCTCATACATCCAATGTTCATGCTAATGAGCCTATCATCTATGAGAGGTGTGTCATTTACTATTCATAAACTTATTACGCATGCGCAGTACCTTCTAAGAGGTCAACAGGCCGAAGTGGCCTTGAAAATTCTTACTTGATGCCAAAATGTTTCTTAAATCTTGTGGGGAGGATGAGACAATGAGAACAGGCCTTTATTCATTCTAAAAGATACAGATTCTACACTTAAGAACAGTCCTTCACTCATATTTTAAAAGATACAGGCTTTACACTTCCTGCAGGAGCCAAGGTTCGGCAATGTCACATGCACACTGGTCCTAGGAACACAGGCAGAGTTGTGGGAATCAGGAGAGTTCATATTCATGTATGCCTGAGATGGTTGGGAAAAGGAAAGATGCAGAGTTGCTTAGGGAAGGCTTCACAGAGATAACTGCACCTAATTGTGGGTCTGATGAATGCTATCTTGTCCTTCTCATAGGTAGGGAGTCAAGAGGAGGGATTTCAGAGCAGTTGGAAAATTAATTTGTATTTAGTGATCTGGGCAGTGTCTGGTGCATACACAATTTATCCACCCAGCTGTGTGCTTCTGATATATACTGCTCGAACAATTTTGGAACAAATTCTGATGGTGCTTTTTCTGCACGTAAGGTTTTGGAATTTATCAAGTACCAAATTAAATGTGAACATAACATGCAGGAAAAAGGCAAGGCTGCTTCTGTGCCTCTGAAAAATGCAGTTGCCTGTATAAATAGGTATTTAGCTTCCCATTGACATATTAATCTGAATTAAATATAAAATGATACCCCCAAGTGATGCTAAAAGATGAAATAATTTGAGACAGAATATAATAAATGCTTGTAGAAAAAGGCAGGCTTGCTTTTAACAAAGCATATTCACCTGTGTTTGTAAGTTGAATCGGTTAAAATCAGTCCACTTTACAATTTGTAGAAAAAGGATTAAAATAACGTTGGGGACTGGAGCAGGATTGACTGTTTTCTTAATAAGTGCTTGCGTATATGATCAGTTCTCTGCAGAAATTTTGAAAAAGGCACTGCCAGAATGTATAGCAAACTGGTGCAGGGAAAATTGGAGTGTTTACATCATGGGAGGATGTGAAACTAAAAGGAATTTGTACCACAAATAACCTTGGAAGTTGCCTAACCCATTTTTTGAACTGCCTGGCAGAAATTGTAGCACAACTAGTACCATTATAAATCATTCCATTGTAGAGTCAAGTTGTTTGTGCCCAGTTGATGTAAAGAGATGGGTGGGTACTTGGAAGCTTCTTGTGTTAATTTTACTAGTTGGAAATATTTAGTATTTAAATATTTGTCAATATTTTATGCCTGTATTCAGACAGTTTGAGTTTTACTAACTATTGCTTTTACTTCAGTAGCAAGACTTTATAATTTATAGGTCAACTCAGTGTGTGTGGTAATTGTGAAAAGGACAAATTCCATATTGAACATAATTAGAAAATAATTTAAAATAAGGTTGCCAATATTGTTCTTACACAAATCTGTGGTGCAGCCACATTTGAAAGTGCGTGCAGTTCTGGTCACTTCACCTAAAAATAATTATTATAGGGTTATAAAAAGTACAGAAAGGAGCAACTCAGATGCTCAAGGGGCTGGAGCAACTCCTCTGTGCTGAAAGAATACAGCCTCTTAGAGCAGTGAGTAAGGGGGGACATGCTAGAAGTGTACAAATTTATACATGGGATAGAGAAAGTATATAAGGAGATTTTTTTCCATTCCTCATAATACCAGAATGCAGTGGTATTATGAGGAATGAAGCTGATTAGTGGGAGCTGCAGGAGAGATAAAAGGAAACACTTCTTTACACAGTTCATAAATAAATAATGGCATTCACTTCCATAAGGTGTAGTGATCTCCCTCAGTCTGGGTAGGGTGAATTCATGGAAAATAAGGCAAACAGCCCTGATAGCTGCATGCAGCCTCCAGTATTGCAGGCAGTATGCCTATCCATATCAGTTACTGGGGAACATGGACAGCAGGGTGCGGTTGCACTCAGTTCCTGCTTGTGGTGTGCCTACAAGCAGCTGATTGCCTCTTGGACAAACAGCATGCAGGAAGTGAGTGTAAGACAAAATATCAAGCACAACTCCTTATATATTCTTCCTGCTAAATAAAAATGCAGGCTAGCTATGATATTGAACTACTGTAAGGAAGCACAAGTTTTATTTAAGGCTTTAGCATCAGTATTGCAAACACCTAGGACTAATTGTTGCACTCGCATGAAATGGCAAACCATAGTCCGAGCCTGGTCTGTAGCCTAACTAGAACTTGCCAGTTTTAGAGAAAATTAAAACTAATTTTGGGTGTATAAGGGGACTGGAAGCTTTTAATCTCCTTTCCTCTTGCATGGGGAGGCAGAAAAGAAGAAATGCAAGCTTCAAGGCTTGGAGAGGGGCAAATACTGTATGATTTTAAAAAAGGGAAGACTGCCAGAAATGTAGAAGCCTTGCAAACATAGGGTAGTTCATTCACCTATTAACTACAGTGTTTCTTAACTATTTTAAACAGAGGATAGTTTCTGCTTGTGACAGAATAACATTGGTTGTCAAAGAAAAGCAGTTAAAATATTCTGCTGAAGTAGAAACTCATGGACTCTACCATTTAGAACTGAGTGGTGACACAGACTCACTGAGCCAAGACAACATGGCAAAAAGTTGAAACAGTGCTTTTTGCTTCTTATTTCAGTTACAGTGAAATAGTGCGAATCCTGCTTGAATAGAATACCATCTTGCATCTTTAGCGATGATTGAAGGTTAAAGCTAATACTTTCTGTTAGACAATTTCCTAGCATAAAGTTATCTATCAGAGGCATGAAGAGAAGGTTGGATAATGGGTCTATATATTGCAGACATTCTGGAGCCTGATAATTCTCTGTGCAAGAGTGCATAATTTGGTGTTATTTTGGAACCTTAGTTTTGGATTGTTATCAGGTGTTAAAAGAACGTTTGATAACTTTTTGGATAGAAAATTTACTGCATTTGATCCGAAGGTGTATTTATGCCTTAGTGCAAGATTCTTGAGGGAGAAAAGAAATGTAAATACGAAGATGTGCTTCTTTTTTCAAGAAATTGTATAGTCGGTTACTTTGTACCTCATGTCAAGCCACCATAGGTCAATTTGATGTAGAACAGGCCATGGCTTATGCAAGGGTTGATTACCTCTTAGGGCAACCCTGTCATGCACGTTTACATGACATGACAAACCTCAGTAACTGCTGGACAGGGTTTCAAAATGGTGGCTGGCATATGCCACAGCAGTCCTAAGACTAATTAATATATGCTAATTATATAAATATTAATTAATATACAGTGGATTGTTGTAATGCATAACTCAGTGAATGTATCAAGATAGATTCTAGTACAGGGCGTTGCACAAGGCTTGCATACATAATACTGCACAGTTGCTCCTGTTACCCCTTATGCAACGGTTAACAGAATGTAATAACATTTTTTTTCTACTAGTGCATATCTGGATCCAGCTCAATATGCATTTCAAAATAACAGTTTTCATTTGAATCTACAACTATTAAATATTATAAAAATCACAATATTCTGAGTCTTAGTTTTTTATATGACCGTGTGCAAAATTATTATAATTAAGTTACTGACAGAATCTCCTTATATTCTTTTGATGACTGATGTGTGCTAAAATGGTGATTAATGAGAATATTTGCTATGTTTCATTTGCAGGATCCTTCTTATTGGGTGAACATTCACCATCTGGAGTATACAGATGGGGGAATCCTGGATCCAGATGATATCCTGGCAGATGTTGTGGATGACAAAGACAAGGTTGATGGAAAATGTTATTTTTAACTAGAAATTGTCAGATTGAATTAAGGTCTGACTTGCCTTTCTATCCTCAAATAACTTAGTATATTTAAAGCTATATGACAATGTAATATTAGGCTGAATGTCCAAAATAATTAAAATACTAGTTGACTTGTTGAGTTAGCCAAAACAGCTAAAGCAGCTGCCCCTTCACAGTAAGACTACTGGAAAGAGTAGTCCAAAGAGTAGTCCAATGAGGCCATGTTGATGTTAGATGTGCATTTGATGCATGTTAATATGGTTCTTCATCATGGGCTCTGTGCAGCACACATTATTGGTGCTGCGCAAGCACAGTGCCTGTTGCCGGGAAGATTAAACAGCTTTAACGGTTTTTGGTACGAACTCTGACCCTCCCCCCATAGTAGAAATGGGTGGAGTGCCCGCCATTTCCCCAGTCTTCTTGTGACTGCCGTTTGTTGTGCTCACTTGAGCCTTTCACTTGTCTCTCATAGCTATATTCTGATAAAGTTTTACTTTTTTCTCTTGACTTTACAGCCTTTTTCTTTTCCTTGATCCAAGTTATATCCCATCCAGTCCCCCCATTTATATCATTTTTTCCTCCCTTACCCCTTTTTCCCCTTCCCCAAAAATATCATCATCATCAACAACAATAAAAACCTTCTTCTTGTTGTTCTTCCTGTTAATTCTTCTTTCATTCGCTGTCTTTCTCTCTCTTTCTTCGATGGCGCAGCGGGCGGCTTTCTGCAAGTGTTCACTGTGTGGGACTAAAATGTCCCCCATTGACTCACACAACTTGTGCCTTCTATGCTTGGGGTAAGGTCACAGGACAGATAAGTACGGACATTGCCAGTCCTTTACCAGACAGGCCCGCAAGAACCGGAAAAACTATGCGGAAAAGGCTGTTGGACCAGGCTTTGGTCACCATGAAAAAGGTCTCAGTGGAGAAGACTGTGGTAGGTCCATCTAAGGCTGCTGCTCCTCATCCATCTCAGGGAAATGTGACACATATGGAGGGAAAGCATGACTCTCAACTGGCGTCGACGTTGCCAGATGCCGTTATCTCCACGCAAGGTCCAGGCTTTCCTGGAGATTCACATGGCAACTTTGGGGAATTACTGTCCAGGATGACAAAGTCGTTGGAGAGCAATATCCAATATCACATCGATCCCAACCAAGATAATATATATGACATTATCAGAAGGGAGGACTCGTCCTCCATTGCTCTGCCATTCATAACAACTCTAAGGCAAGCGATGATGTATACATGGCAGCTCCCCGATCAGCCGTACCCAATGTCCAGGAGACTGGAGTCGATGTGCAAGCTTTGGGAACTCTTCTTCAGCTTTCCAACAACAACTTTCTTCGTCTTCCTCCAATTGCACATCTGCTCACTCAACAACACGGCGCCATTCAACATCCAGATCTACACTCTCTTAGCCTCATGGCCTGGCTCGTTAATTTACTCTTCTTCCTCATCAGTACCAACACCTTCATCAGATTCGACACATACAATGTCTCTGGCATAGCTTTCTGCTACTTTTCAACTCCCTGACACAGTGCTGCCATTGGTATTGACATTGGTATTGACCGATTTTCACCCTTACTTACAGTTCATTCTCCAATCTGCACTACAGCCGACTGCGTGCCGATCCTATAGTGCTAAATGAAAGCGCTTCACCTCATTTGTTACAGCTAACAACTTTGTGTCTCAATCTGCTACTATTGAGAACATTTTACAATTTCTACTCTCGTTACAGCAGGGTAGACTTAAACCCACCTCCATTAAGGTGTACATCACAGCAATCTCACATCATTGGGGCTGCGTTTCAGGGTCCTCTGTATTGTCTCATTTCCTTATCCGTTGTTTCTTAAGAAGAGTACAAAGCCTTCAAGCACCAATCAGTAGTACCGACATGGAGCCTTTCTGTTGTCCTTCAAGCTCTTACTAAGCTTCTTTTCGAACCACTCACCATGACTGATCTACGCCTTCTCTCCTGGAAAATGGCTTTCCTAGTAGCTCTTACTTCAGCTAGAAGAGTTAGTGAACTGTGCGCTCTTTGTTGACCCTCCATACCTGAACTTTCACAAAGACAAAGTTGTTCTTCACACCGATCTGACCTTATTTCCCTAAGCTCGCTTCCCCTTTTCATGTCAATCAAGATATTGTCCTTCCGACCTACTTTCTTACGCCTTCAACACCAATCGAACACTCCTTGCATATACTACACGTTCGACGATGCCTCTATTGATTCTAAACTGAGTCCTTTAGGAAAACCTAATGCCTGTTTGTCAAATACTTGGAGCATGGCAAGGGAGCTCCAGTTACCATTCGAAGACTTTCCAAATGGGTCGTGGAGACAATTGAACTGTCTTATCGTCTCTCCAAATTGGACCTACCGGTCGCTCCTAAGGGACATTTCACAAGAGCTGTCATGGCCTCTTCTGCCCTCTCTGCTGGCATTCCCATGCACAACATCTGTAGGGCGGCTACATGGTCTACTCTGTGCACCTTCACGAGACACTACCGCCTAGACAGCAGGGCCAGATAGGAGTGTTCTTTTGGCCACGCAGTCCTCTCTTCAGTTCTTCAGTGATGACACCGTCCCTCCTCCGGATGTGCTAAGCTTACTAATCACCCATAATATGTGATACACAGAGGCCACGATGAAGAAAGGCAGGTTGCTTACGTGTAACTGTTCTTCGAGTGGCCATCTGTGCATTCACACAACCCGCCCACTGGCCCCACTCAGTGTCGGTAACTGGGTTTACAAAATAACTCTTTTTTTATACATCTGATATAGATAGCTGTATAAACATGTCCACATCTGTGTATGTCTGTCCTCTTTATTCTGACAGCTAATTTCTGTCAGTGATACTCTCTGTCGAATTCAATGTTTACTTATCTCACCTGGGGGCAAAGAGGTGGTCTTCAGTTGACTGGAAAAATGGCGGGCACTCTGCCCATTTATACAATGTGGGGGGAGGGTGCGGAGTTCCCGCCAAAAACCATTAAAGCTGTTTAATCTTCCTGGCGCAGGCGCAGCACCCATAATGTGTGATGCACAGATGGCCACTCAAAGAACGAAGGTTACAGGCAAGCAACCTGCCTTTTCACAAAGACAGCTGTAATTAATTGTGTGTATGTGAAATATTTTGGCAAAGAGAACTGCATGCATACACAACTTTTTATTCATGGCTGTCATTTGAAGTCACTGACTTACTGCTGTGCATCTCTTCCACAGATAACAACACTGTATTTTTCATCAAAATTCATGCATCCCTTAACTTATCTGTAGAACAGGCATATATATAGAAACATAGAAAACAGAGCGAGTCAGAAGGGGCTTCCCGGGCAATCCAGTCCGACCCCTGGCACCAGCCGGCTCCGCTCACGACATGCCCACCAAATGGACGTCCAGCCTATCCTTGAACACCCGCACCGATGGGGCCTCAATGACCTCTTGTGGAAGCCCATTCCACACCCTTGGGGTCCTGATTGTCAGGAAGTGCTTCCTGGCATCCAAACGAAACCTTGGCTCCCTAAGCTTTGCTCCGTTGGAGCGTGTTCTGCCTTCCTCTGCAGGGGAGAACAGGTCTCTACAGCTCTCATATATATATGCTGTGTAAGTCATACTTAATTGCAAGCTCAGATCATTATATTGTGACACTGTGTTTATAGACAGCATGATCCTATGGAGGGAAAATTATTTTTAAAAACTATACGACAGAGGCCATTTTTTTTTAAACTGTTTTTAAAACTCATGGTTAATCATGTTGCATAGTCTAAAGGGATTTGGAGTTGAGAGTTGCGTACATAGAAAGGGTTCTTTTGAAAGCACAAGGCTCTTCAGTTTCATTTAAAAAAGGGTTCTTAATAATTGTAGACTGAACTGCCAGACTTATTTTTGATATAATTTTATGTGGTTGTTCTGTGTTTTGTAGTATTCAGCCTTTAAAATGAGTTCCACACATTCTGGAAGCCTCCATAAAGTACCTTGTTAATAGTCAACTGTGAACTGAATTACATTTTAAAGTTGAATAAAAATAGTGATAAAGAACAAGCATCTTCTTGGTAGGCCAGTAGCTAGGAAATACTTGCAGAAGGAATTAGAGTGAATAGATAAGACGCAACACAATGCCTGAAATACATTACCTTAAAGTAGTAAACAGGCAGTCCCTGGATTATGAATGAGTTACGTTCCTGAAAAAAGTGGAGATTTATCTTTAAGTCAAATTTGTAAGCAAGTCAGATCAAGTATAGTTGACCCTCTACGTTTGTTGGAGTGCAGGAGCCCCCTGAAAGTGAACAAACTGCGAGTCTCTCTAGGTTCCTCCTGGCATCCAAACTCACCAGTGACTCAGCTTTGCAGCAAGGAAATGCTGGAGAGGTTTCCTTCTCTGTATGGGTGCGTCAGGAAGGTGTTCTTTGGAAGCCTCTTGCTCTCCTCTTTCACTTTTCCTCTCTATGGTGATTATAATTTTCTGCAGAATTTTTTTAATTAAATGCCAGAAAGCCTATTAATTTTTTAAAAAAAAATTCTGCAGAAAATTACAACTAAGTACAAGTTGTTTGCAACTGGGACATTCGTAACTCAGGGGCTGCCTGTATCTTACAGTTTTTTACGGCTTGGACAAAAAAAGTACTAGAAAAGTACTTTCATTTAACACATTGCCAAAACAAATACAGGGATTCTTTTTGAAGTATGTTTATTAGCTTCTGACATGACTTGTTTTCAGTGAAAGCATGTCAGCAACTTCATGGAATGTAACTATCTTAGAGTTGTCAGAAACCTAGAGATGTTTTTAAATGTAAGGCTAAAAATTGGATTTTTTAAAAAAAGAAATTTGAATAATGTGATGTTTCTAACTTAAGAAAATTACAGTATAATTAAATGTGGCAGGCTGTACATGTTTACTGTGTCTTGTTGCTAATTAACTGTTGGGATTTTAGAGAAGAGCTGGCTAACAGCTGTTAGAGGTAATAGGAATGGGGTGGGCTT